AGTCCTCACCAGTGAATTACAAGAGAGCAAGGCTCTTAGAGGCTTTGGGCTATTTCTTCTAAACATCAGACAGACTCCCAGCCCAGACCTGAGGCCCAAGGAACACCTCTGCTGACTTTTCTCCTTGGTATAGACACAGATTTTCATACCACTAGTATCTGGACCAAAGCAATTACAATCACCATTCCCTGGGGGACATCACAAGGCTATCTCAGTCCTATCTATTATATGTACACAGACAGAAGAGACCTGGGAATCTAACTAAGAATATAGATAGTTTTATCCCTGCGCTGTGAAGTGTACAAACTTCACAGTGATTCCAACCTTCAAAGCATGTGACTCCCAGCCTCATCTGGTTACAATCCAAAGCTATACGTGCCCAGGTGATGCTGGTGTACCTGCCTCCCAAGTTACCATACAGAGAACAAGAGGTTGTGAAGGGACAGGAGAAAGAAAGACTTGTGGTTTCACGGGGAAGGGTCTGAGCTCTCACATGTCCAGGTTCAAGAGGGCAAATGTGCTTCACAGAGTGGCTGGGAGCTGGGAAGGGGAAACTGGAGAAGCCATCTTGTGGCTAGAAGAGTCTTTCTGTTACCCAATAGCCTGCCCTGCCTAAAAAGGTGAAGACTGTAGCCAATATGCCACCACCATCCTGTCTGCATTCATTACTTCCAGGCTGGGCTGCCAGGGGACACGGATTCTTAGGGGCAAGGAAGTGAACTCGGCATCATCACTGATGAAAAGTCTTCAATGAGGCATCTCAGGAGACTCCATTTAATGATGTGAAAACTTCCTTGCTCAAATACTCTGAGGGCAATATAACCCTAGAGTCCAGAGTGGTTTTCTTGTTAATTTTAAATTGCTCATGTGTCTGTGTGAGTGTAGCCCTATGTATGCAGGTGCCCACAGAGGCCAGAACAGAGCATCAGATCCCCTGGAGCTAGAGTGTCAGGCAGGCTGCTGCACACGCTGCTAGGAACCAGACTCTGGTCCTCTAGAAGAGCAGCAAGGGCTCTTAACTGCTTAGCAGTCTAGCCAGCTCAGCCCCAGAATAATGTTGTGGTGGCCTGAGTGAGAATAGCCCCAGAAGCTCCATGTTTGGATGCTTAGGGAGTGGCACTATTTAAAAGGATTAGGAGGTGTGGCCTTGCTGGAAGAAGTGTCACTGGGGGGTGGGCTTTGAGATTTTCAAAGCCCAAGCTAGGCACAGTGGCTCTCTCTTCCTGCTGCCATGCTTCCCACCATGAAGATAATGGACTAAACCTATGAACCTGTAAGTCCCAATTAAATGTTTTCTTTTTATAGCATTGCTGTGGTCATGGTGTATCTTGATAGCAATAACGGCAATACAATATTGACTAAAACATCGGTTCTTTCAAACATGCCTTCCCCTCCCTGGGGTCCAAAAGCTACCCCCAGAAACAGACCTACATATTTCCTGATGTCACTGCATTCTTCTTGGTCCTTCGCTGAGGTAGCAGCTGTGGTAGCAGTGAGACCACGAGAAGAGACGCTGTTCTGCTTATTGGGATTGTTGTTAAGGCTAGCTGAGTGTGCCTTGTCTACCCAGCTCAGACGGCCTCCTGTACGAAGGCATCTCTTCTTCCTGGCTTCCTAAGAACAGCCCTTCATGTTTTAAAGAAATTCTGCATGGTCCTGATATTGTGGCCCTGTGTCCTTTGGTTTTAAACCAAAGGAATCCTCTTGAGTGCCATAAAAATTGGGAGGGGGAGGGGGAGGGAAATGGGAGGCGGTGGCGGGGAGGAGGCAGAAATCCTTAATAAATAAATAAATTTTAAAAAATCCTGTAAAAAAATAAAATATGAAAAAAAAATTGGGAGGTGTCACCAACACTGTTCAACTGAAGACATGTTCGAGGGAACATGGCAGGCACAGGGCAGAGAAAGAGGGTTTTTTGGAACTTTACATGATTCAAGGTTCAAAAGACGCAAAGGGATTACAGTCCCATCAGTCTTGGGGTCAATCGATACCGTTAGACATCTCATTCTTTATCTTACACTTTTATAACATAGTGTACCTCTATACATCTTCTCTTCTCCCCTAAGCCCATAGCTTGGAAAACAGTCCCCATCAGTTATATAGGAAACTTCCCAATTCTTTTCCTATAGATGAATTGTATTTGACTATTTGGAAGTAGGGTAAAATATTCAACAAGTTCTTTCGAGGAATACATAGTTTCCCTTTCATAATTCAAACAATGCTATGATAAACTCATGCCTTTGTGTCTGTGAAAGTATAGCAAGCAGCAAATTAAATCCCTAAAAGTGGAATCAATGGGGCAGATGGGCCAGGAACTTCTAATCCAGATGGGTATTTCCAAAATATCTCCAAAGAGGTTGTACCACTTGACTTCCCTGCCAGCAACTTAGGAGAGAGCCGTCTGCCCAGAATCTCATGAGCAGTTATCAGCCTTTTCACTGTTGGCTGACTGAAGGGAGTGTCTATGTTACTGTACTCTGCATAATAAAGCCAACGAACAGCATCCGGCTCCTCTAGACCCGCACTTTCCCCAATGGACTCACAAACATCTGGTTGTAAACAACAGTCTTTACCTAGGGATGGCTATGAATTTGGGGCATCACAGGGTGTTAGTTCTAGGGGACGTTAGGATATGAGTGACTGGGCTACAGGGCGCAGCACCTCCACTTTATGATTTACTAGCTTTATGATCTTTACAAATAATTTTACGTCTTCCAAATTCAGTCTCTTCACATTAAAAATGGAGGTAATATTGATTTTTGCAACGCCTTGCATCTGGCACATGAAAGATACTTAATAATGGTTCTCAAAAAGACAAGCAGTTTTCCTGGGAGTTAATAATCACAGGTCAGGGCTAACCTGGATACTTTCCACAAAGGGCATTCTCCTTTCCTAGCCAGGACCAAATGGCCTTTTCCTCAAGTGGCCAGTCAGACCATTCCCGCCTCCTCCTCTGAGTCACTTAGCGTCTTCCACTGCCTGAAGTGGATTGCTGAACTCTGCTTTGGGCCTGAGTGAAGACTAGGCCACCTTGTCCCTGGGCCAGCTTTCCTCGCTGCCATAAGATGTCTGCTCGCAAAGGGACTAAGACAGCGCTCCTTTGCAATTACAGATGGACAGGCGAGAGACAGCACAGAATCCTCTGACAAAATGCCAGGCACTTTCTCTCATCGTCACCATACTCTGGTGTCTGCCTTTTCAGGATATCATTTCTGAGGAGGCCAGCAAAGACAGATCTCTAGCCCTGATAGGAATGCCCACAGCTAGGGTTTCTGTTTGTGGCCATAACTATCTCCTCAGAAGTTTTCCATTCAGGCAGACAGCCTCCCCTTCCACTCTGCAGGGTGGTGGAAATTATGAGCATGTTCCTGGAGTGAGTGGGGCTCTTGGAGGAGAGCTGCAGCTGCCTTGCCGAATGCACGTTTGAGTCATCAGAAAACTACACTTGGGTTTCTCTCTGGATACTAATGTGTCTGTATGCAGTTTAGAGCCTCTCCCTCGTGGGAGCTGGGAGAGAAGGCTGAGAAAATATAACTTATCAGAGTGTGCCTTTGTTCTTTTCCTTTCGTTCACCTCTGGCTGTTCTGAAAGGGACAGGATCAGAATATCTGTGGCTTCCAAAAACTCACTCAGTACAGAAAAGGGACTGCCTCTTCCCTTGGAAGACGGCAAACCCCAGGGAATCTCCCGCAAAGTGAATGCAAGATGTCTTGTGACCCATCATTGTCCCTGGTACTATCTCCTATTGTGTCTGGAATTATTTCTCCTGGGACTGGCTCAGACCCAGGCAGGACACAGAGATCCCACTGCATACATTAATCCTTGCCAGTTACATGGCTGCTTCTCTGGAACCGGCCCTTCAAGCTTGCTTGGGAGAACCTAGCTCCTGTTCTCCTGCAACCATGCCAACAATGTGGTCCTGGACCGGGGAGCTCTGGTCTGCTGTCCTCACAGACTGGAAAAGCGCAGAGAATGTGTCTCAGTCTGCAGGTTGGACGCCTCCCATGTTAAACTTGTTAGGAAACATAAACGTCCAGGGTCCCACAGCTCCATGCAGAGAAAAGGAAGGTCCTGGTAAGAACAAAAAACAAAACACCCCCAACCAAAATCAAAGCAGCTGAAGCTAGCTGATAGTTCTCAGGTCTCATTGCTGTCTTTATGCCTCTGAGGACACCACCCTTTTTAGGGAGTCTTTTGGAGCAGCAACATGCACCAGCAGAGCTCGGGGTGACCAAGACCAGGCAGTAGACTCCCTCGGGGTCACCAGGACCAAACAATAGACTCACTCCAAGCCCTGTCTTTCCATCCCTTATCTTTATTTGGGTCAAGCCTTGGTACTGCTAGCCAAAGCTTCCTCGTGGCTGATGCGGGAGCCGGGATGAGGGTGCAGGAGGTGGGCCCGGGGCCTCAGGAGCAGGCAGGCAATGGACCTGCCACTGAGCCGGATCTCTCTGAGGGGAAACCTCTGACTGCCCTGGACCCAGGGTCTCTTCTGGCAAAGATGCCTGTCCCCAAATTCCCTCGGGTTGTCGCGCTCACACATCCCGCCCCTTGAAGCCACAAAAGCATCTTTGCCCTCATTATTCCGTAAAACTTCAAGAAAATCCCTAGTAAGCTTGCTGGAAACTGGACTCACAGACCGACAACTGCCAATGACCAGGGCAGCACCCCCCTCCAGTCCCCCACGGATTACCTCTCCACACCCACGATCGCTAGGCCCCCGTGCATAGGAGATCCCTGGAAGCACCCGGTGAAGCTTGCCAGGCGGCTGAGCGCCAAGGGTTCCAGAGGGTCGCCAGAGCCAAGGTTCAGCCATGAAAGCAGGAGGGATCCCCGGAAAGTGGTGTGGGGAGCCGATGGGCGGGGATGGGGGGAGATGAGGGGCTCCAGGAACCAGCAACCACCAGACCGCGCCCCTAGGAGCTACCGCAGCTGGAATCAGGAGGATGCAGAGCGTGGAGCGCGGTGCGCTGCGCAAGGTGGCTCGGGGGCGCACTTACCTGGGTGTTCAGTCGCCCTCGACAGTGCTCTGGCGCCCGGCACATCCACGCTCCCAGCCTGGTGATCCGCCTGCTGTGCTGCACCGCACCGCTCGCTCTGCGTGGGCGATTGATTGCCCTGTAGGTCCCGAGGTACAGGCTGCTCAGCTCCGCCGTGGCTCCCGCGCGGCACTGCCTCGGGCTCTGCGCGCCTTCCTTCCAGCGCCAGCCGCCCGGCCGGCCCACGTGAGGCTGCTCTGCCCGCCCCGGCTCTGAGAGAGCACTGGTGGAGTACCCAGCCCAGAATCTCCTGCCTCCTCCAGGTGGCCTGGGATGGGGGCAGGTATCAAGAGACCTGACTGGCGCTGGCGGGAGTCCTGGAAGAACCCCCAACCGGCAACGAGAATTGCATTTAGGGATCTACTAAGTCCGCTGGCATGTTAGTCCAGAAAACACTCTTCACCCAGCTCAGCTGCCTGTTAGCCCAAGAAAAGCAAACCTCAGGAGTCGCAGGGACAACTCAGTAGTGAGGACTTGGCGAGCTGTAAATGGGGTCCAGCGTGGAAAATCTAGAATGAGAATTTAGGCGCCAGAGAGTGTCGCTGTCCACTGAAGAGGGAGCGCCTCAACAGCTACCTCAAAGGCTAGATCTTTGTGCTATTCCCAGGCCTGGGAGTCTAAGGACACCCGAGGTCCCTGCCTTTGATGCACAAGGTCCTTGTGGAGGAGGCAGAGTTAGAGTGTGTGCTTACCTAGCCCTGTGATGTCAGATCTATCAGAAAAGGGACAAGAGAAACATTAGCGGTGCTGGGGATTTCATAACTGTCGTCTTAAAAAAATATTTTTTTCTTTGACGGACTATGGCTTCCGTGTGAAGGTCAGGGGACAACTCGCAGGAACCAGTTCTTTCCTTACACAACGTTAGTCCCAGGGCTCGGGGTCAATAACAAGTGTCTTTAACCTCTGAACCACCTCACCAGTCCCTCCTTAATGTCTTCAGAGGCTGAGAGTTGCCTGTGAACTGTACCCGAAACAGGAAAATCCTGAGAGCAGTTGTTGGAAGATTCGGAGAACAGGGCAGGACGAGAGTGAAGGAGCTAGCCTAGTCAAGGTTTCCAGCCCAGAATCCCTTCCTCAGGATTCTCTGTCAGTCCTGTTCAGACTGAAGGTTTGGAGGAAGGAACGGGGTCACTTAGGATAAACTCAGTGAGGGAGCATCCATCCCACTGGATCAACTATATTTTCCTTTTCACACTCAGGGTAGTCTGGTACGATTCAAGGAAAAGATGACTATTTGAGAAACAAAATAAAACCCGGAACACGAGAAATTATAGGTTCCCAGTCTGACCAGATTCATCAAGGAATAAGAGAGATGTCATCAGGATAGATAGGCTCCTTCATCATTCTCAATCCTTTATTTTAAAGAAATGACTATCTAAAGCCAGTTCCCCCCACCTGGTCACTACAGGGGAACTTCTGTGGTTCAGCTCTTCGTTACTGTCTCTTTCCGGGTTGTAAATATAAAGTCCATTTCCACGTATCACCCTCTTCTCTGCACAATAAGATCTCACACCTGCATTCCTTTCTCACCTCTTTTCCGAAGACAAAACAACAAAATATGAGAATCTTGCAATTTTATTGCAGACCTTTAGACAGAAAAAGAAGACAACATCTGCACATGGGTTAACCACTCACTGTAAGTCAAACATCGATGTTATTACCACCTGAGTTATTGCCAGAACCCGAGGCCTTTTCTACACCTATCCAGTTCCCAAGTCCCGGAGCCACCATCCTAACTTTGTCATAACCTCATGTGTGTCTAGGTTTTGTCTATTTGCAATACATCTCTAAATGACATCATTACTTTTCCTCGCTTTTAAGCTTTCTATAAACAAAAACAAAGCAAATATTTACATTTTTCACCTATGCTTTTATTTGGTTTGTGGGAACTGCCTCTTTTGCTACATGTGGTTGTTTGTTCCTTTTTCATGCTACTTGATATTCCTTTCTATGAGCACGTCGCTATCCGGTCATGGTTTAGACGGATGGTTTCCAGATGGTGCCACAGGAGACTGTGAACTGCCTGACATCATACTCCTGTCCTTTGGGAGAGCATGCGCACTCTTGACTGCTGAGCTTGCTCTCTGGTCCTTACAGGTGGTTTTGAGAAACAGTACAAAGAAGGCTAGGAATGTGGCTCCGTGGGCAGAGCATTTTCTTGGCACATGCAAAGCTCGGGGCTCCACCTAACACAAACCCACTGTGCCAGTGCATGCCTGTAACTGGAGAGGGATTTTTCCTTGGGAAGAAAATGACAGGAGAAGAAAAGGAAGGAGGATCAAAGGTTCAGGGTTATCCTCTACTACAAACTGAGTGTGAGGCCAATCTGGGGGACACAAGACTATCTCAAAATAATAATGATATTAATAAATATTACAAATAAATCTCAGGCACTCGTGTGCCCTTTACCTAGTTTCCCCTATTGGTAAAAGCTTGAGAATTTCAGGATAAGATTTCAGAGTGACTATTGTCACCAACACGGTCAAGATACAAAACATGTCTATACCACTAGCATCCCCCTTAGTGTCCTTTGTAGACAAACTTCCTTCCCTTCTGCACCTCCCCTACGTCTAGCTTCTAGAAACCGTTTCCTATGTTGGTTTTCCTTTCCAGGAATTTGTGATTTTAAGAACGCTTTACAAATGAAGCCATTTAGTCATTCCCTGGAGAGTCCTCCATGCTGTCTCACGTATCAGTGTTTACCTTATTATTATTATTATTATTATTATTATTACTGAGCAATATTCCAAGGCCTCCATGTGCCACAGCTTGTTTAGGTGTTCTCTCATTGCAAATTGTTTGTAGTTTGGGGCTACTACAAATGAAGTTGCCATAAACATTCACAGCCTGGATTGTGCATGAACCCAATTTTTCTATCTTCAGGATGGATGCCCAGCCATGCAAGTGCGAGATTCTGTGGTAGCTGGGTGCTTTAAGAGTCGCCAGTCTGTTTTTAAGAATAGCTGCAGCATTATCCTCCCTAGCAGTCTGGTTGATCTAGCTTCACACTCTTGCCGTCCTTCGATGAATGCTAATGAAATTATCACCTGAATTTAGGTGCCACTCACACATCACCCCAGAGAGTTTCCTTGTGCCTCCTCAATCTATGTGGGATTTTGAGGTGCATCTTATGGTTGTTTGAATATTTAACATGAGACTTACTCTCTAGCAGAAATTTACATATATTAATATAATATTGTTAACTCTAGGAATTATGTTGTTGACTACTGATCTTGCGTAATTGAAACTTTATACCTGGGTCTAAAGAGATAGCTCAGCAGTAAATAGTGCTTATGCTCTTGCAAAGGACCTGGATTCAGTTCCCAGAGCCCACATGGCAGCTTAGAACCATCCGTAAGTCTAGTTCCAGACTGACAAGCCCTTCTGGTCTCTGTTCACATGATGCACTAAACTCATACAGGAAAACACCACACACACACACACACACACACACACACACACTCTCTCACACACACACACACACACACACACACACACACGTGTTTAAAAAGTTTGATTAAAACCTCTGTACCCACTGGGCACTAGCACTCCATCTGCTATTCTTTCTAGCTACTGGAAACTGTTCCAGTCACTGCTTGGGGAGTGGCTGTGTTAGCACCACAGCATTAGCTGGACTGGGCAGTGTTTGTGTACATGTGTAGTTCATTTCACTTAACATGGTGTCCTCCTGGTTCATCCACCTTGTTCAAGAAACAGGATTTCCTTTTTACCTAGAGTGGAAGAATCTACTGTATGAGTCACATCCTCTCTCTCCTCCCCTCCCCTCCCTTCCCATCCCCTCCCCTCCTGTCCCCTCCCCTCCCCTCTTCTCCTCTCCTCTCTTCTCCTCTTCTCTCTTCCTCTCTTCTCTTTTCCCCTCCTTCTTAAAACAGGGTCTTAGATGTAGGCAGACTGGTGTTGAACTTGAGATCTCTCTGCCTTACCATCCCAAGTGCTGGAGTTATAGGTATGCACCAGCTAATATCATATTGTTTTATCCATTCATCTGTCTGTGGGCATTTATTACCTAGGCTAAGGTAGTTAATGCTGAAATGGAGAAAGAGTGTGGTTATTTCTCCAAGATACTGTTTTCAACCCTTTCCTTCCACCCTTCCTCCTTTTCCTCTCTCTCTCTCTCTCTCTCTCTCTCTCTCTCTCTCTTTCTGTTTCCTATTGCTGAGATAAGACACCAGTTCTAAAGTAATTTATAGAAAAGAGTTTATTTGGGATTTAAGAGTTTCAGAAGGCATCAAGTAGGCAGACATGCTGGAGCAGTAGCTGGGAGCTTTACATCCTGGATGAAGTCAGAAGACAGACGGGTACGGGCGGTGGTGGCGCACGCCTTTAATCCCAGCACTCGGGAGGCAGAGGCAGGCGGATCTCTGTGAGTTCGAGACCAGCCTGGTCTACAAGAGCTAGTTCCATGACAGGCTCCAAAAAAAAAAAAAACCCAAAAACAAATGTGTGCATGATGAAATTATAGAAGACAGACAGGTACACTGAGCCTGTGCCACATCTCCTCTAGCAAGGCCACACCTCTTAATCCTTCCCCAACAGTTCTGTTTAATGGGGGCCATTCTCATTTAAAGCGCCACAATTCATGCTTGTTTCTCCACCAGCATTTGTTAGCTTTTGATAAACACCATCCTAACTAGTGTGAGGTAATATCTCTGTGTGTCTTTGATTTGCATTTTCCTGTTTTTTCTTTTTTTAAAAGTGATGTTGATAACCTTTTCTTATACCTGCTGGCTTTGGAGATACTTTTATTTAATTCATTTGCCTAAAATATTGAGATCATTTTTCTATTTCTATAAAATATGGCATTGATATTTTGATAGAAGGTACCAAGTCTGCAAACCACATTGGAGAGTATGATGTTTTCACACTGTTAAGTCTTCTAGTTTGATCCTTTTGCCTCACACATGCTAGAGAAGTGCCCTGCCACATGGTTCCTCCAAGACCTTGCATTTTCTTTGGTTATTTCATTAATGTTTTTCATGTAGACTATACATATCATTTATCTCCTTTCTTGGTTGCTAAATATTTGTGG